ACTTTATTCCTCCTTGGTATAGATATGTAGATGATGTTCTTTGTCTTTGGCCTAAAAACAGTGACCCATTGGAATTTTTAGACAAGCTTAATAATATTGTCCCTAGTATCACATTCAAAATTGAAAGAGAAATAAATGAATCCCTTCCATTTCTTGATATGCTTATCATGAGAAATGGCCAAAACTATAAATTTAAGGTATATAGAAAGCCCACACAGGTTGACAGTTTCATTCACTTTTTATCGAATCACCTTGAGTCTACCAAAGTGTCAGTTTTTTCTGCTATGTTCCTAAGATGTCTGCGTATTTGTGACTCTGAATTTATTGACGATGAATTGAAACACATTCGTTCTATTGCACTGAAACTTGGGTACCCTTCTGTGTTTGTTGATCGTTGCTTTAAAAGGGCTAAAAAATCCTTTCATTCCTCTCAAACCAGACAAGTTCCTACACTTAAGAATATTTTGACTCTGCCCTATCGTGATGAATTTGTCCCGTTAGTTTGGTCCCTCAAGCTTCTAAATATTAATGTTGTTTTCAAGTATGACTCGTTCATTAATATAGCTGAAAACCTTTGATGCATGGGTCCTTTTTCGATCTAGTCATGTCATCAGATGTTCTTGAATAAGAATTCGTTGTTTATTTTCCCGTGTGATTTATCAAGATTTATCTTATCCACGATTGTATATATATATATATATATATATATATATATATATATATATATATATATATATATATATATATATATATATATATATATATATTGATAAAATCACACGGGAAAAGGGAAACAACGGAGCACCTTAGCTTTCGTCTTTATTCAAGACATCTTCAGAGGCAACTGGATTACATGGACAGAGAGAGGCTTAAATATACAGGGTGACCTTAAAAACATGAGGTCAGGTCATAATGATGTCATCCACTAATCCCCACACCAACACACACGTAGAGGAGCTTAAGGAAGGGGGGTGACGTGACTAGTCAGGTCAGGTCAAAAATAAGGGACCCACTAAATAACTATCATACATCTAGATCAAAGGTTTTCAAAGCATTTTTAACCTTGGGCCACTGACAAATAAATTTATGTAACATATTATCAGTTTTGAACTGACCATCACTAAGGTTTTTTTGATTTTAATTCCTTAATCAAACTAGCTTCAACCAGAAGTCTTTCTGTGACACAAGATGATTTAAATACTTCTAAGCTTTTTTCCCAAGCAATGGGATGATTATTATTCCTAACATGAACGAACAAGGCACTGCTTTCAGATGCTGTTCTGATATTATACTTATGTTGTTTGATTCTGAGCTGCAGTGTTTTTCCTGTCTGTCCTACATAATTACAATTAATGAATACAAAACACTCCATTTAATCAAACTTGCTATTCTATAACATATTAGTTGGCATATGAAAACAAGATCCATGTTTCATGACTCATGAATATATATATATATATATATATATATATATATATATATATATATATATATATATATATATATATATATATCTTGATAAAATCACGCAGAAAAGGAAACAACGGAGTACTTAGCTTTCGTCTTTATTCAAGACATCAGCCGATATGGACAGAGCTTAACACAGTGACCTTATTAACATGAGGTCAGGTCATAAGATGTCATCCACTAATCCCACACCAACACACATATGTTACATGTTTATGTCAGGCCAAAAAGTTTGAAACCTTTAATCTAGATGTAGGATAGTTATTTAGTGGGTCCCTTTTTTTTGACCTGACCTGACTAGTCACGTCGCCCTCTTCTCTTAAGCTCCTCTGCGTGTGTGTTGGTTTGTTAAGACACCACACCCTAGAGGAAAAAATATTTACATTCAAAAAACATAAAGTAACATTATACAAAAAATAAAGTGTATGCTAATTTTGCAGTTATTGTAATTTACTAGTGTTGTAAAAAGTGCAACACAACATTCATGCCTTACCCAGGGACTTCAAAAATTTGTTCCAGCAAATTTTTTGCGTCACTTTGTTGTTTTACAATTGCTTGTTCAGTTGCCGATATAATTTTTGTTTTCCAATTGCCAGTTCAGTTGTTGATATTATACATAATTTTATTAATTGAATGTTTATATATTGATCTAATTTGCTTGCACTTTCACATTCAAATATTATATAATTTTCTTACAGTTGAGCTTTCACCCTTGGATAGTTACACCGTTTTCTGAAATACCGCTTTTAGATATTGATTTTGAAACCACATTTTTGTAATTGCCCGTTTCGATCATGACAGTGACAATATCTCTTGCAATTTCACGTTCGTTTACAATACTGGTATTGACCCAATTTCATGTAATCCGTTCGTGCCAATTCCGGGTAATATCTTACCCAGATAATAGCGTTACATTTGTTCACATTAGTGTTGAAGGTTTGTTGGCCAGTTTCGGGAGTAATATCAGGGTTGTGGAAAAGATAACGAGATTATGTAACAGTGATGCTGAGATTGTGTTACGTTATGCATGGCTCTCTCTCTCTCTCTCTCTCTCAACCAACTATCATCCCCCTTCTTTCGTTCCTTCCTTCCTCTCCTGTCTCCCACTCTCCCATCCTTTTCCCTTCTCCCCCAATCTTCTACCCTCATACCTATCCACCCATTCCCCACTATTCATACCCACATTCTCCCCAACCTTTCACCTCCCACCAACCCATCCCAAACCCACTCCCAAACCCACTCCCCAACCCACTCCCTCACCCACCCTCCCCGCCAAATTCTTTTCGCTGGAAGACTTTGTTAAGAATTTCTCCCCCCAAAAAATCACTTACGCAAACTTTCAGAAGATTTCTAAATAAAAATCGCTGAAGTATTTGTTGTCAACCTCACAACTATCTCGTATTTGGCAACACTTTCTTATATTTGGCAGCACTGTCTCGTGATTGGTTGACTTGGAGGATTTCCTGTTCGTACCTAGGCGGTGATTGGCTGATTTTTCATGTCTGGGTGGTGGTGGTGGTGATGGTGGTTATTAATGGTTGTTAGTAATGGTGGTGGTTGTAGTACTTGTGTTGGTTGTAGTGATGGTGGTGGTAGTTGTAGTGAAGGTGGTTTATAGTGGCGGTAGATATAGTGGTGATTGTGATGGTGGTGGTGTTTTTATAGTGATGGTAGTTATATGGTAGTAGTGGTGGTGGTAGTAGTGGTAATGGTGATAATGGTAATTGTGGTAGTGATGGTGGTGTTAGTAATGGTGATTGTGATGTACTAATAGTAGTGGTTATGATGTATTAGTAGTAGTGGTTGTAGTTGTAATGGTGGCTGTAGTGGTAGCAGTTGTGGTTGTAGTAGTGGCGGTAGTGGTTGCTATAGTGGTGGTGGTTGTGGTGAAGGTGGTTGTATTAGTGTTGGTGGTGATGTTTATATTAGTGGTGGTAGTGATCATGGTTATAGTAGTTATGGGGGTGGTGGTTGTAGTAGTAGTTGTGTTGCTGGTGGTTGAGTTGTGGTGGTTGCAGTATTTATGGTGGTGTGGTGGTTGTTGTAGTGGTGGTAGTTGTATTTATGTTGGTGATAGTGGTGGTGGTTGTAGTATTTATAATGGTGTAATAATAAAATTTGTATGGGAGAAGGTATATCTATAGGGGGGGGTGGTTGGAGGCCATTTTGTAGTTGTTGTTATTGTTGTTGTTGGTGGTTGTTGTAGTGGTCGGGAAGACTTTTTTATTTATCTACTATAATCATCATCATCATCATCATCATCATCATCATAAACACCCTAAGTGACCCACGGTAATTTAGGGAAGAAGAAGAAGAAGAAGACAAAGGCAGGGAAGAATGACCACTACTTACCCATTCACCCTCGTAGTATCAGCTGACGGGTATACTTGTGGGTCCCATTCACTTCGGCGTTGTTTACCATCGTAGTTCATTCATCTACACCATGTTTACTACGTTGCCGCCACCACGACCCTTTTAAACCAAATATCGGATTGTATTTGTATTTTTTTGTGGGTTTTATCTTTGTTTTACTTTTTCTTCATTAAACACACTGAAATATTCTCTTTTTTTAATAGTTGGTACGAGATTATGTACTTAATTCATTCAATCATTACTTAGAAATTTAATAGCACTCAAACAATGCACTTATACGATACTTAAACAAACTTTTTTCGATTATTTTCACTTCTTATGTAGTACCTTTATCTGGGTTTTTTCCGTTAGCACAACTTGGCGGGTTAATTATACATAGGCCATCTCACCTGGCAGTAAAGGGAGTGAGAGTGCCAGTGAGAGGTTGAAGGAGCGCTGAACCATGTGAGAGCGAGGGAGAGAGGTGGTGGCTGCTCGCTGCGCCAACATTGACTGCCAGTGCCTACTACGCCCCGACCCAGCTGAGTGTCAAGCGGGGTGCGCGGGATGTCATCTGAGTCACTAAACTTCTCTTCTTTATGACCCTAACATAGTGCCACCTGTTGTGGTCGTATCACATGATGACCTCTGACCTTGACATAGTGTCAATCCCTAACATCACTGTCATTACCTAACACCGGTTGTTGGGGCCCTTACCTTGACACAAAGCCACCCCTAGCATTACCTGCTGGGGTCATTACACGTTGACATCTGACCTTGACATAGTGCCACCACCAACATGACCCACGACTCTGACATTCCTGCATTTCTGACAATTTACAATATTGCTTGTCATCACCACACAAATAACACAAACATCCAAGACTACTATTAACCTCGCCCTACGGTGCGTTGCTAAAAGGATG